TAATCACGTTGTTGTTTTTTTAACTTTATTTTTTTTTTAAACTTTTATTTTAACTTTATTTAATTCTTAATCTTTTAGCCATTCCAATGATATTACTGTGAAATAAAAAGAACATGTTTGCTATGGTATTGTTTAATAAATCGGTAAGTGTATTATGTAACATGCATATTATAAGAGCATAATATTAAACTTTTCTTGTTTTTTTTTTACGATATTGATAAGTTAATCTCTAAAGCGTTTATTACATTATTCAATTTTTAGAAAATCTAATTAGGAAGTTGGAAAATGTAATCGTAGTTAGAACAGTTAGGGTCCGATTTAGTTAAAGTTGGAGGTCCCGACCGCTCTACTTTCTAAATTGTCTACAATTTAGGACAGTGTAATCGCAACGTTACGATTTAGAACGACCAGTCGGCGCCCGCGCTTTGATCTAAGCGGATGTCTTGACTGCGCGTGCGACATTTGTTTGCGATGGCGAGTGAAGCGAAAGAATTGAGCAGTGGTTCGTGTGGCAGCATGTCCACAGAAAAAGAGGTGTTATTACAAATTATAGACCTATACAGGGAAATGCCCTATTTGTATAATAAAAATGATAAAAGCGTTTATTACATTAGTCAACTTTCAGAAAATCTAATTAGGAACCTAAGTTGGAAGCTAGTGATCACATTACACTTAACTGAATTTTAAATCGTGACGAAGCACATTCGTAAAAGAAGTATCGACGGGGTTGCAAGTTTGATCGATGGCGCCGTATTTATGGCGCCAAAACAGCAGAAAATTGGACACGCCTTAGCCGTGGTGGGAACAATGGATATTAAAAAAAGAAAAAAGAGAAAATGCTGGGTTAAAGAATACTTGTCATTGTATTTGTAAATATTTAACAACACCTTGAAGCCCTCTTCACGCATTGCTTTGTTTAAATAAGTTAATAAAATAGTAGTATAATAAAAATGATAAAAAAAGTTTTTATCATTTTTATTATACAAATAGGGCATTTCCCTGCACAGGTCTATAATTTGTAATAACACCTCTTTTTCTGTGGACATGCTGCCACATGAACCACTGCTCAATTCTTTCGCTTCACTCGCCATCGCAAACAAATGTCGCACGCGCAGTCAAGACATCCGCTTAGATCAAAGCGCGGGCGCCGACTGGTCGTTCTAAATCGTAACGTTGCGATTACACTGTCCTAAATTGTAGACAATTTAGAAAGTAGAGCGGTCGGGACCTCCAACTTTAACTAAATCGGACCCTAACTGTTCTAACTACGATTACATTTTCCAACTTCCTAATTAGATTTTCTAAAAATTGAATAATGTAATAAACGCTAAAACATTTATGTCTTTGAGGGGATTAAAAATATACATTATAGTAGACGAGACCGTGGGACCTTCACCAATCTGATAACCAGATGAGACCTTTTTTTTTTTACGAAATTTTATTGATTTATAAACACGCCTATGATAGCTTGCCTTTCGAAAAGTGTTCATGGCTATTTTTAATTAAATTAATTTTAATCAATTTTTTTTTCATGACCTTCACTCTTTTGATAACCGAACAAATTTAGTTTAAACAGGTAGTTTTTAACATGGATAATATGCCTTGGTAGGCTTGCCTAATTATTTCTGTTCATGGCTATCTGGCAAGCAGGTATGATCACCGCAATACAGGTTAGAGGTTACAGCGATACGTTAACCAATAAAAATTGGTATCAGAAGAAAGATAATTTAATTACAAAAATAATTTTATAGGCTTGCCTGCAAAAAACCGTTATTGGAATGTTACTGTCATGCTTTAGTTTTAAAATCAGTGCAATTAAATATCTGCGAAAGAGAAAGTAGAGCGTCCGAAGTCCGTGTGATAGAACAGGACACAACGCGACATGTCTATTGAATTTGACCCAGTGCGCATGCTTTTTTACATGCAACTGATAGAGACACGATACACAATAAACACTATGGTTTTATGTCGTTTTTAGCGCAACGTTGCACGATTACTGATAATCTTAGAGGTTATTGGCTTGCCATACGTTATCATTCTAAGAGTCAAAATTAATTATACATTTTAAAAGTTCCACATCGTGTCTATTTTTACAAGCAGATGAACTCACAAGGTATGAAGGGTTAAATAACACGTCCATTGTAGTATAAAAATGTTGCACAGTTAATATTTAATTTAAGTTATTTGTAAATTTTCGTCAAAAAGTCTTCCTTTTTGAAATGAAGACTGCAAACAACACTATACTATGATATTTTTTTTAGTAGTATGCAATGCTTGACTCCTTTTACTTCCAGTTTCTTCGTCATTGGGAAATCTGAAATAAACCTTTTTTTTATCAATTTAAGTTGTAACTCCATTTTATCCATGTTTTAATCCATATAAATATTCAGTTTTTTTATTACTTTTAATTAGCTCAGGTCATAGATAACACAAAACAGCAAACAAAAACTTCATTCATAATTTATCAGGCTTTTTTATTCCTTTTTAGACATAGGCCTTTCCTATGTATGAACCACATAGAACGTCCACAGCGTTCATAATAACAGAGGCACCCTAATTCCTCTAAAACAGAATACTCTTACCTGTGGAAAGATTTGCCACAACTTGCGTATGATTCACTTTTACAGCCATTCACAACACAATTTTGAACCTTTTTAAACCAAAAACTCTCAAATAAGCCACAATAAGGAGTCAACGTCACAATTTTATGAAACCCACGCCAATAGAAGTAAACAAATGAACGCCGTATTGGTCATAAAACCTGGTCCGTATTGCCAGTATCTTAACTTTTATTTTCCTTTTTTAAATGTCGTTTAACTGAGTGAACCTTTTTTTAAAATTATAAACCGAATAATTAACAATATTAATATTTAAGTGACAAACTACGTAAATTTTGAAAGCCCGTGTAACAGGCATAACACTTCTGAGGTGGATGTTTATGTTCCGAAGCTTTGTAATTACTACCCTATAAATTTATGGCAACTGTGGGAATGGGATACCGCCATGAAGCTAATACAAAGGGGAGACGGCATAAGCAACTGTGCACTGTGATTCTAAGTAGGTCCTGACGTCATCATAGTGGGCGTGGCTTTAGTTAGTATACTGTCAGCATTCGTCCTGTGCGCTTATGTGTTGAAAAAATCGTAAATCGGTGTATTTTCGTAGTATTAAGAAGAAAAGGATGAAGTGTTGAGTTTAATTGTGTAAAAACTACTCAGATAGACGCTCTGATGTTATGGATGGCATCACATTACATTTGTAAATATTTTTACACCTAATTTATTAAAATAGTTCTAGAAAAATCTCTTTGCGTCGGCTTTCAAATATAATTAAATATATTCGACACTAGATGGCGACACTTTGTGTCATGTGAACTAAAAATATAAAGGTCCGTAGAGCTCAGTATTGGTAAAATAATCATACGAAGGTGCTGAAATTTGTTTTGCATTCAGACATAAAGAAATTTTAATCTCCAAAAGATTATTTTATAGTTTATAACATTTTGTGGACATGCCGCCACCTACCGTCAAGGTAGCTAAGCTACATTGCAACATCGATATGGAAAGATTCGAGTAGTTTTACTATTTAGCGGTAGATGTAGATAGTGTAGTGGGCGGGGCTTTGCATCCCCTCACCCCGCAAATTGTCACGCGTTGTTACATAGTGAAATTTAATTACAACGTCTCCTCTTTGTATTTGCTTCATGGATACCGCGACAGAAAAGTGCGTCTTTGTCAAGGCCGTGAATCCTTAAATTTGATATAACAAAATTAAACTTTAACCCGTTCGTAATAAAGCATGAATTTGATTGCTTGACACTAATTTACGACTTAACCTTCTAGTTTTACTAATAATTGTTATTATTAGAATTACATATACTATACCGAATTATTCTATGCACCTCATTTTTAAGTGGCGCTGTCCTGGTGGCGGAAAAAGTCGTGGATGCCTTCTTTGTCAACCGATTTCGATGACAAGATAATGTCTGCTTAGGCCCTTCGAAATACTATCGTCATCGACTGTCTACTGGCTCAAGCTGCCATTAAATTGCCCAAAAACTTCGCAATATGATGCATCAACATATTGTGAAGTTTTTAAATCAATTATGAGGTACTAAATGATAATTTCTTATTACTTGATGTTGAAAAAAGTACAATCGTACGAATCCATTACTATAAAAAAAGAAAATCCAGAAGTGAAAATAAAACTAACATGTCATATAATAAAATTTATTGTCCCCGTTTTAACATTCATTAAAATATATATAAAAAACATCATACAAAAATATGTATTTCTTATTGCTTAACACCGTTCAACTAAGCGATTACCGAAGGCACAATGTGACGAATAAAATTCGAGATTGTTTCCGCTGAGACTAGATAACGTCTAAAATATTTCACTATATAATTCTAGCACATACTAAGGAATGTATTGGAATGCAATCACAATATTATAAATTCAATAATTCTGAGTATTAATTACGTCGGTCTTAAACACTTATCAACTAATTTGTCTCGCTTCATAAAACTATGTGTAAAAAAGACAGCATCACATTTGCTTCACTTGACATAACAAAAAAAAATGTAATGTAATAAAAATAAAAATCACGTAAAATATAACGCTTCGTGAAATTAATATTAATTTGACATATATATAATTCAAATCTAATAAAATAATTGTTGATATTTATAACATACTATACTTTTATACAATAAATAAGTTCCCAATGGAGCATTATAGTTGTGCTTCATTTGCTATGGTGAAATTAATAAAACTTAACTAACTAGGTTTAATATTCAACATTAAAATAAAATAAGTTATGATATTGTGTTTCATAAACAAAATCGAACCTTTCATTGGGTACTTAAAAAAGAGTAAAAATTAAGACATTATTGCAATATTTTCAAAAATTAGACATCCGCTTTCACAAGAGATATAACAGAATTATGCAAATATAATTAAGAATAAATGCATTTTAAGTACTAGTCAAGTATTTGTCATTAGGCCAGCTGGTTCCTAATAAAAGTGGGTAACGTAAATGCCGCTTTGTGAATGTCACTGTTATAGTACCTAAGATTCATTTGCCTTTCCTCTTCCTTTGTAAAAGTTATCTGTGGGCTGTCAAACTTGACGTTTGGATCCAGCGAACCTATTACGAAACCTATCAAACCTGATGGGTACGTCGGCACCGAAGCGTACGCGTAAGCAGCGGCCGGGAATTGATTCCTACAAAACTGCAAAGTTTTTGTGACTAATTCGATGTCATTCCAGAAAGTTCCAGCTTGGGAACAAACTATGCCGTTCGGTTTGAGCGCACTTTTCATTAAAGCGAAGTAGTTCTCTTGGAAAAGGTTTACGGCCGGACCTACTGGGTCACTGCTGTCAGTAATGATGACGTCAAATTCCCTGCTGTGGTTTTTCATAAATTCGAAGCCGTCTCCAACGTGTAAAGTTAGTTTCTCACTGTTGAAGCCCACCGCCATAAATGGTAGATACTTTTTGGAAACCTCTATAACTTTCGCGTCGATCTCAACCTGTAATCACACTATTTTTTAATCGCTAATTTTATATCTAAGTAACCCAAATTATTAATTGCTACTGTCAGTGCCGATTTATAACATTGAATGACCTATCTTCAGTAAAAGTGGACTAAAACAGCTGTTGAACAATCAGACAATTGATTATTTTTTCTTTCTTTGACAAGCGACATGCAAACATCTTTTTTATTGAAATAAGAATACACCTGTGTTAACAACACTACTTACACTCCCTTTAACAACTTCAATTAAAATTTAAACACTTGTACTAGGTGTGGTTCACGACAGTAGTCGAATGGCGGATTCGAACCTTTTTGAAAGATTAAAATCCTTTGATGTTCCACAGGGGTCCATATTGGGACCGCTAGTCTTTATTTTGTATAATAAGTACAGAACATGGAAAGAAAGATAGACGCCAAGTCTCGGTTTATATGAGAACCGATGTTGCTATTACTTCCAAACCTACTGCTACATTTGAAATTAATCTCAACAACACATGCACATCTATAATGCCAGTTCATGATTCAGCTACTAACAAAATTTTATTTACCTGGATTACTGTTTTAGTAATGATGGGTAAATATCAAAAAAATTATTTCTTATTACTTTTACCGTATGTTTTCTAGCACCAGTAGCCAAATAATAAGAGTAAGGACTGCAAACTTAAAAAGTAAAATCCGTAAGATCAAATTCGCCACTCGAATACTGTCGGTGAATCGTTTGTCGTTTTTATTTAGATTTTTCGTGTATATATAATACAATGACTGAGCGAGTGAGCGACACAGACAGTTTTCTGTGATTTTTTAGTGCTGATCTTACCATATAATATGTGGAAAACTCACACAAGGTTGCCAATTTTTTGCATAGTCTAATAAACTATATGACATACAAACCACATTTATATAACAAGGAAAGGCAATAAACTTCTATTATCAAAATATTACTGAATTAGTTAATTATTTTTAATATGTAAACAATTATTAAATTATGTAAGCAAACAGATATAACATTAGATATGACTTGTTGCTTTGAGACAAACAAGACTCATAACTGTTTACTTCTTCATTATTGGATGCTAAGATTATTTCAGGAAGTTTCTAATTTATTTGAGTGATAATATTATTGATACGATGTCTTTATCACTAGACATTGAAACAAACGGTTTTAGAATTACGTTTGCCCTTCATATTCGTTTATAAATAGATAACTTCTTATCACATTTAGAGAGCAATAAGATAAGAATTAATGTTTCTTAAATACAGAGAATTGACTTACAACTCACTTATTTCTTCTAAAATACTTAATTCTTCAATTACTCTGAACTCAAAAAGTTTCATGTTCATCACATACTTTAATGAAAGAAACTGTCAAATAAGTATATAATTTTTATATACTTGTTAAGTAAACAAAATATTAGAAACTACTGGACCATGTTAGTGGCAGTGTAAAAATATCCACTAGCTACCCCATATCGTCCCATTTATGTTGTAAGAGGCGACAGAAGGAAACAAAGCAGGAAATTGGCAGCAGCTTCTTACTAACAAATGAAAAATAAAAAACGATGGTTGTCAACCCGCCTTCCAAGCCTGGTAACTATGTCAAATATGAGGCAATCTATGGGGAAGGCAGTAACATAAGTACTGTAACGGTAACAGTAGAAAATATTGAAATGTTACCATTACCATTAGTGTATAAAATCCACTGCTGAACAAACGCCTTCCCCATAGATTGTCTAATAGGGGGGATTTTACCATAGTTGCCACACTTGGCAGGCAGGTTGGCAACCACAGATTTTGCCCATCTCCGGTTTCAGTTTCCCTCTGCCACCTCTTACGACACCCAAGGGATGATATAAGGTAGTAGATATTCCTACACCACTGCTACACAATTAATTGAAATGTTATAAAATCATAATATTGTTTTATTGAGATTCTTTGTTAAAGTAAAAATGTTAAATGAAACTAATTTTTTTTACAGATTTTATCACATTTAATTTAACTCTTTAATTCCCGACGTGGTCACGGGGGGGGGGGGGGGGGGACTGAGGTGTTTGACGCCCCGATGTCTTAGTTAGGCTGGCTACCTTCAGTTTTTGAATATTAATTTTTGGTTCGCATTAAATTAAACGCGATAAAATCCGTAAAAAAATTACTTTCATTTAATGTGTAGTCTTCGCGTAAATATAAGAAATCATTAAGTAAAAATGTTCTTATAATTTGGTACTTTAAAGTTATAATGAGATAATTGACTAAATATAAAAATTATATAATTACCTACCTGTACGATTTCTTTGACCTTAGGGTGCTTAGCAACTTCCCTTGCCACACCACCGTCACCACCCCCAACAATTAGGACTTTTTCTGGGTTTTTGTGACAACATAATGGCAGGAAGGATATCATTTCCTGGAAAAAATATAATTATGTTTACTTTCAATGGAAAATTCTGCTGCTTCAGCCAGTCTCCAATTAAAGTATATTTGGTGTAATAAATATGGTTATATTGCTATCTATCTATTGAAAGCCATAAGATACTTCTGGCATTCCCAATGTTTTTTTTTAAATCCCCATGTTTTAAGTCCCCAGTTGGTATAGTTTTCCAGAATATCTCAACTAGCATTCATTACTTGAAAGTCATGGTCATCCCCACCGTATTGGTTAGCGTGTGTTTGTGAATATAGGTTCAGGGGAAGCCCCCTACTCTTTTCCGGAAAAGTATAGTTTATGAGTAAAGATTTTTATTGTAAAATCATAACCTAAAATATTAACAATTTATTATTAATATTTTAGGTCATTACATAGGCTGCACTAAAAGTATCGGGAATGGAATATTTCCACTGTTCCTGTCATATTAAAATCTTTTTAATTGAAAACGCCTTGGTTTTAAAAATCGAATACCATTTATATATTTAAAAAAAGATTCTCGGTCTTGTCACAAGGTTTTGTCAAATTTGTTTAGTTGTTGAGAAAATGGAATTGACTCGAGAAAATTCAAGAGCGATGATTTATTATGACTATCGAAGTGGTTTAACACAAAATCAGTGTGTTGACCGGATGATTTCTGCATTTGGTGATGAAGCCCCATCGAAAACCACAATTTATCGCTGGTTTGCTGAATTTCAACGTGGATGTGTCAAGCTCAGTGATGATCCCCGTCAAGATCGCCCAAAAACTGCAGTCACCCAAGAAAACGTTGATGCTGTGCGTAAGCTGATTGAGGAAGATCGACATGTGACATACCGCGAAATTCAAGCAACTTTAGACATTGGCATGAGTCAAATACAAATAATCTTGCATGAACAATTAGGTGTAAAAAAGTTGTTTTCCCGGTGGATACCGCATTCGCTCTGTGAAGAGCAAAAAGCGGCTCGCGTTACAAGTAAACGCACCAAGGTGCGTCAGAACTCTCGAAAGATTCCACGCAGGATCCTCAAATGCTGTATACAACATCATATCAGGTGACGAATCCTGGATATACGCGTACGAACCCGAAACAAAAAACCAGTCACGAGTTTGGGTGTTCGAAAATGAGTTAAAGCCAACAAAAATTCTTCGTTCACGGAGTGTTGCAAAAAAAATGGTGGCCACGTTTGTCTCCAAAACCGGCCATGTTACGACTATTCCTCTTGAGGGACAAAGAACGGTTAATGCAGAATGGTATGCTAACATTTGTTTTCCACAAGTCGTTTCTGAACTCCGTAAAGAGAACTGCAACCGCCGCATCATCCCGCCGAGTTCTCACACCGCACACAGAACAAAAGAGTTTTTAGAGCAAAAAAACATAAAATTATTAGACCATACGCCGTACAGCCCCGACCTAAGCCCTAATGATTTCTATACTTTCCCTAAAATAAAGAATAAATTTCGTGGACAGAGATTTTCATCACCTGAAGAAGCTGTGGACGCCTACAAAACGGCCATTTTGGAGACCCAACTTCCGAATGGAATGGTTGCTTCAATGATTGGTTCCATCGTATGGAAAAATGTGTCAAATTTCACGGAGAATACTTCGAAAAGCAATAAGTACATTTTTAAATAGTAATGTTGTGTCACTTCCTTGATTCCCGAAATTTTCAGTGCCACCCTCGTATTCCTGTGTAAAAAAAGTGCGTAAAAAATGCACGCTCCCACAGGTGCCTACTATAAAAACTATAAAAACTCATCTATAAAAACACTACGAATATTTCAGACAAGACTATGTGGAGTCAGGGCATGCTGATTCGGTTTTAGTACAGATCTTATCTATAAAGTCCTAAAAAGCAATATAATGTGAATTGTTATAATTTTGTTTTCGGAAAAACCTCTAGAATGCTCTCCACTGTGACTCAATTCATTGTATGAGTCCCATCTTCAGCCACAAATGGATTGTCTATATGCAACTTTTAGTGAAAGTTATTTTTATGAGAATTAATTCAAAACGCATTTCTGAAATCCAAAAACAGTGTAAAAGACTTAAGCTAAACCCTGACAGATCTCCTAAATTGAAAGCATAATTAAAATCAAGTACCGGACAGCTACTTCATAATACTAGACCAAATTGACATATTTGTGTTTTGTTATAAGTAACATTTAGTGAAGTTTACTTTTATCGTAATTAATTCATAACGCATTTCCGACACCCAAAAACAGTGTAATAGGTTGAACTTTTTGCATTGAAAATTGGAATGTTCAATATTCTGGGGCAAAAATGTTTGCATTAGTTTCTGAGTTTTATAAAATTCTTTCAAAGTACAAAATAAAACATTTGTAATAAAAAAGGTACCTGATATGAAAACTCATCTTTTTCTGTACACTGTATGATTCCATCTAACACCAGAACTCGGCCAAAACTTTTAGTATTGCAAACAAAAATATCTTGATACTGTGATTTTTCTTTACACAAAACTTCTTTAACTTCAAATGAAAATGTACCTCCAGGCCACATTTCACATGATTCAGTAAACCAGCCTTTCCTTAATACATCCATTGTGAAAACAGCTGAAATAAATAATTAAACTTAAATCTTTTCAGAGTGTTGGTGATTTAATGCAAACTTTGGATAAAATTTCCAATATGAACCATCAATTTAAATGCCCATATTTTTTTTTGTAGATAGTACTTACTAAAAGAAAGCGTTTTGCAAAGTTTCAATATGCGGAAACGTGTACTTTTTGAGAAAAAAATTATTGAAAATCAGTTATTTTTGCAAATTTATGTCAATTCCTACGGTAAAACTGACACTATTTTGTATTGTCATAGTCATCGTCAGTAGGGATGTCGATTCTTTCCAAAAAAGATTGATTTTATAAATCGATTCGAATCGTAAGCTGATGTGATTCACAAAATAAATCGATTTCTAAAATTTCGATATTTTTTCATGTTTGCATTTATAATGGAAATATAAATCCATTTTACGAGAACAAAATCCCCTTCATCAGACATAAAATAGGGGGACTGATTAAAAGGGGTTTCTGTATCTATTTTGAGAATGCAACGTCTCCGGCGCTGCGGGAAGAGCAGCCTCTACGCCTTTGCGTAACAAATCACAGGCATTGGATGAGCCGTTAGGAATAAAATTGCAGATTCAATCCCACAAACTTTTGAGTTAATAGACTGCACCCTGTCGCTTGATTTTATAAGCTTTATATTAAATTAATGTATTATTTAAATAAGCTATAAAATTATAAAATTGGTGGATCGCAGCACCACTGAATTTCTTTCTTGTAAAACTCCTTATAATAGATAACCTGTCGATCACAATAAAATTGATTTGCAGATTTTAGTTTCGCAGCAATGATAAATGCCGATTTTATAATTTACGCAAATATAACTTCTTTTCTGTAAAATGTTCTTTTTGTTAGAAATAATGGCTTAGCTTTCCATTGACGTCAGTGGAGTTTGGTGTTGATACGTATTTTTACAGAAAGATTACACTATTATAAGCACACACACAATGTCTCAATATACGGAAACGCGTAATTTTTGAGAAAAGAATAATTGAAAATCAATTATTCTTGCAATGTTTACGTCTAATTTGCTAATAAACTGGCGCCATTTTGTAATGTCATTGTCGACGTCAATAGGGATGTCGATTCTTTCCGAAAAAGGTCGATTTTTAAATCGATTCAAATCGTAAGCTGATGTATCGGTTCACAAAAAATCGATTTCTAAAATGTCTATATTTTTTTAATGTTTCTATGTATAATGTAAATATAAACCCATTTTATGAAAAACAAGAAAGATACCATGATAAATGATCTCTTATTGAAATTTGTTTTATTTAACAGTACCTATTAGGGCAGATAAATAAAATAGGTTAGGTTCAACTTATGTCAAAGAACCGAATTGATTGACCCCGACTCCACCTGGTACGAGTCTGTCCTACCCCTAGAGTGGTTTTATAGAGCCGGAGGCGCGTAGGGGGAGCAGCCTCCGCCTGCTGTAATAAATCGTAGGCATTGGACGAACCGGAGCGGCTGAGGCTGGTCGCCGAAGGCGACCAACAAGCCGAAGCTGCGGAGGCGAGTAGGGATGCCTGCGATTTGTTACGCTAAGGCGTAGAGGTTGCTCTTCCCGCAGCGCCGGAGACGTAGCAGTCTCAAAATAGATACAGAAATCCTTATGAATCAGTCCCCTTATTTTTTTATGATGAAGGGGATTTTTTTCTCATAAAATGGATTTATATTTACATTATAAATGCAAACATGAAAAAAATATCGATATTTTAGAAATCGATTTTTTAGGAATCGATACATCAGCTTACGATTTGAATCGATTTAAAAATCGACCTTTTTCGGAAAGAATCGACATCCCTATTGACGTCGACAATGACATTACAAAATGGCGCCAGTTTATTAGCAGATTAGACATAAACATTGCAAGAATAATTGATTTTCAATTATTCTTTTCTCAAAAATTACGCGTTTCCGTACATTGAGACTTTGTGTGTGTGCTTATAATAGTGTAATCTTTCTGTAAAAATACGTATCAACACCAAACTCCACTGACGTCAATGGAAAGTCGTACCGAAATAATGATTAGAAATTTAAAAAAAATTATCTGATCATATTGATAAACAATGGCTTTTTTTTTGAAAGATTACTTCATAAAATTAAATAGCGCATAACGTTTGTACATATTTTAATATTACAATATGTAAGATGAGTTTATATCATAATACGATAAGTAATAAATTAATAAACTAACCACAAAACACCAAATTTCAGTATACTTTGTGGACAAATTGTGACGTTTGTGATTGTGAGTTTATGAGATGTTAGTTGTGACTAGAGGTGGGCGATGCAAACCGTATACTGATACGAAATCTATATATATTGGTACAATATCTAAAAACCGCTTACTGGTTCGTTTCAAAACTATGTATTACAAAATCTGATATTTGCGTACCGCCGCGATGCCTATATTGCTCCGCATCGGTCGGTGGCTAGATTCGGCGTGTGCGACGGAGCGCGAGCGATATAGATATTATACCGATTCGTTCGAAAACTATGTATCACAAAATCTGATATTTGCGTACCGCCGCGATGCCTAAATCGTTTCGCATCGGTCGGTGGCTAGATTCGCCATGTGCTAGGCATGTGTCCCTTTTACCCTATATCAAATCGCACCTATGTATAGGATATGAATATCAGATTTTGTATCTATATATTTCAATATCTATATATTTGTTGATATCTTCGTTCTGAATAGATGTCAGTATCACATGGTGATACGCGATTTATGAACGAATTTCCATATATAGATTTATAGATAAATGTATTATTTATCTAATCTAAGTATTCTTAAAGTATGTCATAATATAAAAAGTGACATATAATATATATCAATAACATTTAGTTTGCGAGATATTAATGAAATAGAATATTAAATTAAATCGTGTCGTGTTTATGCCATCTAACGTCTATAATGCGTACCACCGTGAGAGTCAATCATTATATTAGTCTATGGAGTTAATCCATTTTTGTTTGATAAAATCACTTAATGGAGTAGATGGCGCGTTTGCAAAGTATTTTTTTTTTACTTACTCCAAATATATTGTTTTAATTTATTACACTTAAATTTAGGCTCTATATATCTAAAAATAAGGATTGTAACATTTATTTGCTATAAAATTAAACTTTTATATTTTATGCCACACTTGTAGTTGCGTAGTGCGCATGGATTATTGCGTATGCATAGACTTAATATATAAGTGTGCCCTCTAGTGAGATTTAAATAAGTCTAGCCTAGCGCTTCGGAATGTAGATGGAAGCACATAAAACGTATCATATTGCTCTTAAAATAATGTTCTAAGTTGCATGCCCATGTACTACGTCAACCCAAAAAGTATATGCGTCAACCTCAGGTCCTCAGACGTCAACTAGGAGTGAGGCGTCTTTATCGTAACAGATTAAAAACAGGAATCTTAAAATATAATACTGTAAATGTGACAAACAAATTAAAAGAACAGCTCCTGTTCCACAAGATATGAAATTCACTAAAAGACAGTCAGAAATTTTTCTTTATTCATACTTATGACAATTGCCTTTGTTAGAATAAGATAAATGTTACTCGTCACAAGCTCTTTTCTTGTATAGGTTCGACACCTTAGTTAGGGAGAGAAATACCCTATGAAAGTATCTTACAAAAGCAGCCTGTCACTGTGACATACTAAAAGAACAGCTTCTCTTCCGGGAGATAACAAAACTCATTATAGTCATAACCTTGTCTTTATTCATATATATGACAGTTACTTTTAAAGAATAAGATAAAAATGTTACTGTTATACTGTGACACCCTGCTACAGTTGTCACAAGCTTTGTCCTTTTCTCGCATAGACTATACGAGTAGTAACAGACTGCTATTTTGTAACAAGTTTTTGGAACTGTTCTTAATAGGGAACTGGAAAAGGCGGAACAGATATACGATTTTACCTGTTTACAGTCGGTTACAGCTCACTCCTAATGTCACGTAATGTCTTTTTTTTTGGAGTTTATGGCCTGGTATCTAGACCTTTAGGCCAAGTCTTAAGTATTTTTATTCGGTTTATTGTAATTTCCCCACTCCTTCATAGTATACTGCTTCACAATATGTTGATGCGTCACATTGTGCAGTTCTTGGGAGATTTTGGCGGCAACTTGATCCAGCAGACAGCTGATAGTTGGCGATGGTATCTAAAGGTGCCTATGCAAACAAACAGCTTATCTTGAGAATCCATCACCATCAGAGGACTTGTTTCACTGTTTCCACTAATAGTTCCCATGCGTAGACACTTAATACACAAAATCGCAACACTTTTACATATCAAAGTCCACTTCAAACCATTATTTAAACAATAATACAGGAGCAGCAAACCGCCGCCGGTCAATTTCCCGCCAAAACTCCTCACGTAATGTCAACACTATAGTGGTGCTACCAGTTCATAAAAAAGCATTGGAAAACCGGTGATGTGATAACCGACTGTTGACCGGTTGTCTCGAAAAATACCGGTACTTCATATCTATACTGCAAGATATTGCACATTCGTTAAAAAAACTACGAGAGCTTTCTTTAATGCCATTAGTGGTATGCATTTAGTTCTGTCAATATTCTAAAAACAATTTTAAAAATCAGTTACATACGCGATTACCTTATAACCCAACAAAGATCATGGGGTAATTTTTGATACAGTAATAAAATCTTATTCCTTTTAAAAAGTTGGTACTTAAATATCTATGCATTCCACCTGAAAAACTGAAGTACTCTTATAGCCTTGATATACCATATTTTTATAGAAGGGGAGACAAAAAGCATACGGTGAACCGAATGCATATGGTGAATATTCATCACTACCTAGGAAGAACATCTACAACACCAGTTTTTTAAAAAAAAGGAGTAAGCAGTTTGCTTCAAATTCCACAATGTGTTCGTGAAAAAAAGTTCCTGGTAAAATACAGGACAGTGGAATCAATATATTAAAGTTCCGACATATTAAAGCCAAAAGTTCCGATACCGACGACACACGAACTCACTGCTACCTATATGCAATTAATCGCAAAAAAAAATTTTTACAATTTACAATAATTTTTTACAATTATTTTTTTTTATTTTTTTTTTAACAGCATGGTAGCCGTAACAACACAGGTAACCCCGTTAATTTTGCAGAACATCTGCTGACATATTTCAGCGTTATCTATTAATTACCGGAAATCTTTAAATATCTTTTTGCATTCCAAGGCATATTTACCCATTTATTTATCAAGCTAGAAAGTAGTGTCAGAATATTTCAGGCGTGCTAAATAGAAATCCGTATTCTCTGCCTACTCCTTTGGATAACATGAGTGAGAGTTAATATAATTTTGTAGGTAAAACTAGAATAACTATTAATTAGCGACACATCAGCTCGTGACAATATAAGCCCGCAGCTGCAATCGCCTATTTATGGCATGCTTGCCCCGCTCACGTCCAGTATTGCACTTCCTCTCCTCTTGGTTTCGAAGGTACCTATATTAATCCATAGATGGGAAATTGACTGCATATCAATATCACTACACACCCAAATCTAAGAAATATCTTTTGTCGTTTCACGTACAAGTAGTACAAGCGTACTCACACGATTTAAATTAGGTAACCTTTTACATAAAGACAAAGAATTATGAAGTTATCTATATTTCATTAAAATCTGTATTTTAATTATTAGTGATATACAACCGTATATACAAATACAATCATAGTTCTATAAAGGTCGACACACACGATCTGTTAAACTGCTTTCGCTATAATAATCCACGGTTTTCTTACAACACGTTTCGTTTTACTACTTTGATAAACAAATGTTATATTTGAAAACATTTTAAACCTTTGTAGACCATTTAGTAAATTTAACATTAGATTCGTGAACAGAAACCATTGATATAAGAAAAATAGTTACTATTTTTCTTATATCAATGACAGAAACTGTCTTGTTTAATTTGACATTGACAATTAAATTGACATTTATTCGTCAATGTCAATGCATGCATTTTATATTTTCCTTGATATTTTTTTTAGTAATTTTTTCAAAAATTATGTCCCAAAATCTATGAATTCTGCACTTAATTTTTTTGGTATTTGATACATATTTACTTACCCTTTCTACCACAAAGATTTCAAAGATATGAACGAAGTTGTAACGACTTTAAATTGTGAATAAATGAAAAATTGTAAATTTTGTTATGAAAAGTATTTACTTCTTCAGATTTGAATTATTTGTTGTCAATTGTGTACATTAAAATCGAAGAAGTGTTGATTAAATAAATATCAGAATCTGAAGAAGTAAATACACTTTTCAAAACAAAATTTACCATGAATCATTGATATTATATTCTGTTTGATAGTGAAAATGAAAATACTTCTATGATGAAAACTGTATCTACTTAAAAGAGTTAAATGGATATAGACACAATAACTCCTGAAGATTTTCTAGCTTCAGCCAAACATTTTATAGAAATATCAGATAAAATCCATGATGGGTGGCGAATCTATGAACATAAAAATGAAATACATAAGTCATATATTAAAAAAGAGGCCTTTATAACATTCAAATCACAAAATGAATTATGTTTATATAAAATAGAATATGTAATATTTTATAATTTGAGTTACGGAGTACCTTCCTTTAGTTTTAATGTTTGGAATTCCCCTGGAACTTTACTAAAGCTTGAAGAGATTAGACAGATGTGTTTTATTCAGTAAGTTACTGAACAGACTTGTAAATGCTTAGTATTTATTGCTCTTTTAACATGAATAGAGGAGGTATTAACTACAATATCAAATTAAACAAAAAAATCCACCTCCAAGGGTGGAAAATAGAGTAAAAAGTTTCATATTGGACTATTGTTTAAGGAATTGTATGATATTTTCGCAGATTTAGATCCGATTTTAATGATTCTTTTTTTAAAATATTTATACTTCAAGGGTGGTCCAATATAAATTTGGAGAAAACGTTCCACCCCAAAGGTAGTAAATAACAAGTTCTTTTTCACCAATTTGAAGTCAGTTTTTGCTTTTTGTTAAAATTTATAATTAATATAGCATACCATAGCAGCACCTATATATCAAAATTTATTTTAGTTGGGCCAAAGGAAACAACCCTACCTCAAGCATAGGCTTCCCCAATTTGAGAGTCCGTGCATTATCTAAATTGTAAAGCAGTTCTAGTGTACCAAAATAATTGAAGAATGTTAATGTAAAATTTAAAAAGCAATTGATTATTATCAATGCTTAGTTCTTAATGTTACAATTACCAATGTCCTGAGATACAAGCTGAACTTAGTTTAGGATCTAGAGTTGCTTGTGTAAATTATTTATATTGAGAACTTGATAAAATAAATGTATGTTACAATATATTAAATTTATAAATTAGTGTTATGTTCCGATTAGTAAATTAAAGTACATTCAATGTTATAAAATGAACACTAATTAAAACAAAAAATATTTATCTTTTTAATTATATAGTCATAAATAATGTTTACTTAAAAATGTATCCTTACAAACAAAACATACATTTTCTATAATTGTCATAAACACCAAAAAAAATCATGTTTTCAGAATTACCAAGGAGGAATTTTATTCAGTCATAACTCAACAGGAGCACCCTATATTTCATCGGCCATACTTCATAATGCATCCATGCCACACAGCACAGCTGCTAAAAGAGTTCAAGAACAAATCAAGAAATATTGTAGTCACATTTTTAGGCCTTATTTCACCTTTGTTACGGCTTAATTTGTCATTAGAGTATGGTTTGTAATATTTGTACATAATTTTTAAGCTGTATTATTTAAAATACTTATTAAAGTAGTATTAAAATAAAGTATTTGAAATTTTTTATTAAAAAATAGCTGGTACCCGGTGCATTGCTGCCGCAGAAGAAATAATTGTGGAAATATTGTTTTAAATTTGGAAGGGTTATATTGTTTAATTATGAATGATAGTAGGTACATTTATTGAAATTAATGATATTACATATATGATTTAAATTAATTTTTCGGTACGATACACCTGCCACCTACTGTCTACTTTAGACAAAGTTTTATCACAATCTGATGAACAATGTGGCAGTGCATAAAATACGAATAAATATTAATTAGTATATATTTAGAAGATATTTCGTTAAAAATACAAAACTTTTGTTAATATTTTATATACATACATTCAATGTTTATACTTTTTAAAATCTCTTATTTAAAAAGCCCATGATTAGATTATGTTGGCATTTTTTTTACATTTGTGATAAAGATATATAAAGATAATCATTTATAAATAAATAATTATTTATAAAAAGAAACAAGAACAAATAGGTATATTTGAAAACTGTAAGAAATATCAGATGACTTTTTAGTGATAATTGACGTAGTATTATGGTGGGATTTCTATTTAAAAATTGTTATCTTTAAATCTAAATCTAATGGAAATCAACAGGTCTATTTTATAACCTCGGAATCGAGTTTAATTTAATGGGTTGCCAGCTCCCAGTATACGTTTTATCAAGACTTCAAGATAGGTACCTACTGTAAGCTCGTCGCGTAGATCGGACCAAAAATTTATAATTAAAAGTCGAAGGTAGTATGTTAACTATGACATCAAGACGTAAATACGTCAGTCCCCCTGTGACCATGGGTGCTGTAAAGTGCCCGAAACGTCGGGAATTAAATCCTACCTATCTATAGGTACTGTTCTTACGTTGACGGTTGATAACACCAAGTCGATGTATTATTTGAAATATTTTCGAAATATTCAACATTTCAACTCATTGCAAAAAGATAATTGTTATATGGTAGGTACATAAATATTCTGAATCACTTTTTACCATAGGAACCATTAGTCCACAAGCCATCCATGAAAGCTTTAAATAATGCGAAATTGATGAAACATACTTGGCTACAACTATAAAAATATCATCGTCTAATGCTGGGGTTTGGTTTAGTAACTTACAGCACTAGGAGGGAAGAAGAACGAAGAGGAGTGACCATCTTATATTTAAACTAGCTAGCAAACTTAGTACTGCAGCATATGCTGTAAAAAAGATTAGAGGCATTACATGTGTTGAAACAGCTAGATTAGTTTATTTTAGTTATTTCCATAGCATAATGTCATATGGAATGGGGTAATGCGACTGACATTGAAACTATCGTTCTTTTGCAAAAGAGAGCCATAAGAGCAATTTATAAACTATGTAGGTCCGAAGGAATCCCTTAGAGAAAATTTCAAGAAATAAATATATTAATTTTGGCCTGTCAATATATTTGTGAGAACTTATTGTATGTACACAAAAACAAAAAAATATATTAAAAATAGCGATGTACATTCTGTAAATAATATGAACAAGCACAAGTTAGTTAAATCAGTTACTCGACTCCAAAGAGTCGGTAATACCTTCACGGGCCAATGTACGCTTTTACAACAGAGTCCCAGAAAATATGCAGACCTTATCTATCAAAAGGTTTAAAATATTTATTAAACAAAAATTATCCAGTAAGGGTTATAATACTACCAAAGAATGGGAATGAGGTGATCGCTACCATGCAATTTCCAAATGTTTTCATAACAATTGTATAAAATATTATATTGTAAATTGTGCTTTATAAAAAAAATCCCACTGGGTTTCTTGCTGGTTCTTCCCAGGACAGAGGTATTTTTTTGGAACCAGTGGTAAAAGTAAAAAAATGATTCAATAAATACAACTTTAATCAATATAGAATAAAAATGATTCTATTCTATTCTATTACATCCATCTGTAGCCCTCTCCCGAGATGAGAAGTGGGGGAAATGGGCCGAACTCCATAGCAAAATAATCGGCGTACCAGTGAGAGAGCGCTTGGCCCTTTGGTAGGTCATAAGCACGTCGGTCGAAGTCGCATTGAAACATTATGCGTGTTAACGGCATACAGAATACGATCAAATTAAGCCACATTGAATGGACGTCACACAACATTTTATCCAAACCAATAGAGGTGTTTTTTGAAGAGTAACAAACGAGTAGGCAGTCCAACTGATGGTAAGTGGTTGCTGTGGCCTATAGACATCTACATCTATCTTCGATATAAGAATCAAAATTAAGCGGCGTTGTCACCCTTAAGGACTAAGATAGAATGCCTCATTTCAATTCCTTTTCCTTTCGAGCCGACCAATTCGTGCACCTATAAAAGTACGCTTCCTAGAAAATCCATGTTGTTAATAACAATTAGTGCCTGATTTAGAGTTTCGACAGCCCTATGCTAAGTATGAATATGTGCCCCACCACCGGCTTGTTCTGTCTGTGCCTGCCCAGTCCACGAATATATTTACTAGATTTTTATATTTAACTAACTTTCCACGCCGCGGTTTCACCCACATAAAATCATATTTTTCTGATAGTGAGTGTCGCGAAATTGGCATTTCGGGTAGCTGTGAAAAATAATAAATTTAGGAGGCACGACAATGGGGTTATTTTTAGCGGTAAACGCGCAAAACTTTGTCTTCTAAACTTTAAATTGGACTAGAGTAGTTCTCAATCAGAGATTTTTTTTATAGAATTAGGGTGACAAACAAGCACACAGTCCACCTGATGGTAAGTAGTTGCTGTGACCCCTAGATGTAGATATCATTTATCCTCAATAAAGAATCAAAATGCAGATGCGTTGTCACCCGTGAGGACTAAGATGGAATGCCTCGTTTACAGTAAAAAAGGGTCTCATTTCTCTACACTCGCCCTACGAAACACAGCAGCGTTATGCTGCTATTTTACGCTGGTATTCTGTGAGAGCGTGGTCCTTCCCGGGTCGAGCCGACCCATTCGTGCTACAACTATACCAGTAATATATCTGCAGCATGGCTCTACCACGTAAATTTGTTTATTAACAACTTCAGACACTAGTTTGTTCCGAAACTCGATGACGTGTTCCCGAGAAATATTAACACGGCTGGTGTAAAAAGCATCACCAGTGTTACAACCAGTAACAGCAACATATTATGTATATAATTGAATATACAGAAGAAACAGCGTAGGTGACGACAGCACGTAGCCTTGTGGAACAATAGCATTAACAGGCTCGTATTCGGAGTATGCACCGTCTACTACGACTTTGATGCTCCGATCTGATGAAAACTGAAACGACCAATGCCTCACTCTTGGACTCTATTGCTTCCACTCATCTATGAGTCAGGTATCTCAGAATACTAGAACTAGAACCAGCTGATTAGTGACCGCTAATATGGTAGTCTTTTAATTTTAATTATTATTATTTCTTTCATTATTTTGGAGAACAAGGAGGTGATGATGATAAGCCTGTAGTGTAGAAATCGGGTGGACTAAAGCTGTCTAAGTTTTTAGGATAGCGCCTTGAGAGGAGTACCGGAACAGACGCGTTATAACCGGTGATAACTTCGGAGAAGCCGTCATCAGCACAATAGGAGGGACTCTATCAGGCCCACTCAACTTGATGTCCAAAGAGAGAAGTACTTTGCACACTGAGCGCTGTGTAAACCGCTCATCCAGCATGGATCAAACACAGCGGGGAATAGTCGGCGTTGAATACTCCCCATTATCGAAAGTAGAGTTGGGCTCAATAAGAGAACCTACTAGAACGATTTTCTCCTTTACGGCATGTGCTAGTGAGTCGTTCTCCCTGTGCAGAGATGGAACACATGGCTGACAGAAATTCCCTTGGACAGCCTTGGCAAAACACCTTAATAAAATTAGAGGTAGACAAGAGCTTGAGCGGTTTAAAATCTTTGAATCACGTCCAGTCAGTGAACGAAAGGCGAAACGTACCAAATAATTCAAAGTCTTATTTTTACCATCTATTTATTTGTTTTGTACCAAAAATAAAGAAAGAGCAACAAGTAAAATACTTGCGGCATTCGGCACTTACTCCATTATTTATTGAGAATATTATGTATCTATACCAAATTTTATTCACCAGCCTAGTTAGCCTGTGGGTAAATCAGGCCCTGATAACAATTATAATTTTTTTTCTCTATAATTATTAGTCATGAATCGGAGAGTTCATAAGACTAATAATGCCAACAATTAGAAAAGTGGTCTTACTTTAAGCAATTAGTTTAACTATCGAAAAACAACTTCAAAACTAAGTTTTAATAACTGTTTAACAAGTTATCGATGCGGTATTTTCACGTAGTTCATAATCTATACAAATAAATAAAATTGAAGTGTCTGTTTGTAATGACAAAATAACAGCTTTTTACTAAATGCATATATATGAAAGTTTTTACGATATTTATAACAAAAAAAAAAAACAATTTTAAAGTCTATTTGTTTGTCCCGGCTAATCTCCGAAACGTTTGGACCGATTTTGACGGGATTTTCACTGACAGATAGCTGATTTTATAAGGAGTAACTTAGGCTACTTTTGTTTTACAAAAAGAATTAGGGTTCCGCGCTGTTGTCTACATGTCACATTCAATTTGGGATAATTTCAAATAAAAGGAGAAGCCTTATTTACTCGTATTTTCAATAACTGCAAAAATGCAGATATATTGTGGTTGTAGCACGAATGAGTTAGCTCGAACGGGGTAATAATAATACCAACGTAATATAACAGCTAAATGCCGCTGTGTTTCGTAGTGTAGAGATCCGGAGACCCTTTTTACTGAAAACGAAGCATTCCATCTTATCCTCTGGAGTGACAATACTTCTACATTTTGAATCTTAATCAAGTATAAACGTAGATGTTTATGAGTCATCGCAACCACTTACCGTCACGTGAACTGTGTGTTCCTTTGTCACCCATTACGTGGTAGAGCCATGCTGCAGCTATATTAGTAGTATAGTTGTAGCACGAATGGATCGGCTCGACCGGGGAAGGACCACGCTCTCACAGAATACCAGCGTAAAATGGCAGCTTGACACTGCTGTGTTTCGTATGGTGAGTGTAGAGAACCGGAGACCCATTTTACTGGCAAAGAGCATTCCATCTTAGTCTTCATGGGTGACGACTGACGACGCATCTGCATTTTGATTCTTTATTGAGGATAAATGTAAATGTCTATGGGTCACAGCAACCACTTACCATCAGGTGGACTGTGTGCTCGTTTGTCACCCTATCCTATAAAAAATATACTTTTATTTTAGTAAAAGAATTAGGGTTCCGTGCAAAAGAATTAAAATCCATGAAATCCAATCGTGTCAAAATCCACGCGGCCGAAGCGCGGGTAATAGCTAGTTATAAAATAAAATGGATGGTTTAAAATAGTTCTATTTTGTTGGTGAAATTGCTTTGTATTTTGTAAGTCTCTGTGATTACTGTATCGTGTTATGTAAATATCTATATGTGGATTAATTAACCGGTTCTAAAAACAACAGGTAGTAGCCCCCCTCCCCCATTAAGTTTTAATTAATTTTATTTTTATTATTTTTTGTTATAGCGGCAACAGAAATACACATTCTGTGAAAATTTCAACTGTCTACCTATTACCACTATTACGGTTCATGAGATACAGCACGCTGACAGACAGACGGACAGACAGCGGAGGCTTTTTAATAGGTTCCCGTTGGTTACCCTTTGAGTACGGAACCTTAAAAAGTAAAATAATTAAATTTTGCATAACAACTAAAATCGACCGAAAGCCTAAAAGAATAATAATTTCCCTTCTGAAGACGAAGCCTTACTCGCCATTCTTTGATATATGTGGGAATAATTCTTTTTTTGAGTTTTTAGTCTTTTTTTTTTTGTTAAAAGTTTGATTATTTTTTAATGTTAACAGTATATTCATTTAAACTTAAAAAGAAAATATAAAAGACACAAATAGTTGACTCCTTTCAGTGAAATTTGTTTGCTTTTCTGTGTCTTGATAAATTCGTGTAATCATCAAATTATTTCCTTTGGCATTCATTTATACTACTCCAATTATTGATTATTACATTCCCTGAAATTAATGATTGCACAGGTTTAAGGCGAACGCCCAGCCCTTGAGTTTCTAATTAATTTATTATAAATCTTTGTTCATGTTATATCAGGCTTAGCGTTAGAGAATTATAATCATGATTTGTTAATAAAAAGAAATACTAAAATCGTCATTTTACTGATTTACCAATTTTTTAACCAGTTTTATCAATTTTCAAGGAACTTGTCGAAATAATAGAAGGTCTAGGCCTAGTGACCAACGTATGGTGGTTGTATTGATATCTTATTGAACACTGATAAGATTGCTTTCGCTATCAGCTCAGTTGTTTTAACTCCTGTCGTATTTACAGACAGCTCCACGGTCACAAACGTTTGCTTTTTATTTTAGTAAAATGTGCATAAAGTGAAGTTTTTAAGAAATATACGAAACTATAAAAGTTTGTGAAATGGTTTTAAGTAATGGTGTGCGTAGGTTGCGTGAGTGTGTGTGCGCGTTCTTCGTTTTTATTTGCTGCTGCTGTAGTGTAAGTTTTTTAATATTTTCATCATAAATTAAGAGAATGTATGTACCTATATTTAAAAATATAATAACGATTTTTCTATTGTAAATTTTTCAGAAGAAAATTAAGAATAGATTACGTAAAAGAAAAAAGAATATTAAATCTTAAATTTTTAAACACATGAACAAAATAGAACAATAAGGTAAAAAACTTTCGGCGACATCCTATCAATTATTGTCAACTGTATAATCAGCTATGATATGATCTGTCAATGGATTTTTAAAGTGTGTTTGTAGTTCAACCATGGACGTATTATTACCCAAGGTTGAAGAGCATCACAAAACATTAGGCTCTCTGCCGAGAATAGAGTATTTTTTAAGTATTGTACTATAGACAATAAATACAATTATTATTAAATTGATCTTTACGTACATCTAATTGTACCAACTTGCTTTACGACAACTACGAGATAATATGATGTTTTCTTTGTTGTCATCATTATTAATAGCTGGCACGGAGCACAGTAGCTATGCCAATACTGAACAAAAATGTCCAATCATAATCAATGTAATAAATGTTTGATATAATCGTCACTCTTGGCAAATTGATGACGGTTACGGTAGCAGAAGTCTCGTATCTTCGACACTTCGAACGTATTTTAAGTTTTGCATTTCAGACCAGAATTGACGTACTAACGTACTAAATAGTACTTAGTAAGTGTACTAGTCGTGGGTCCTGTGTACGAAATCCAGCATCAGTCAACATTCGTGCAAAAGCACAATGGTTGGCAAAACACTAATAGTTGTCTTTACGAATCTGGTTATCTTATGATTTGTCTGAATTTATCTGGAAGGATTCTATCCTATAGAAGCGTTGCGTGGGCATGGCGGTATCTTAAATAATTGATCATATATAACTATCAACGTAATTATTCTGAGGATAAGACTGTATCACGGGGTTTTATATTTCCTTTGCATTTGATAATTTCCGGCGGTATTTGGCCGCCGTATTCGTGTTTTTTTTCGTAGTTTATGGCATTTAGTTATCCTTGATGCCAATGACAAATATGTATATAAAAAGAAGGAAGCTAGATGGTAAAGAAACATTTAGTTCAAATGGAAATGACATTTGAAAAAAGGGTAATCAGGGGAGTTAGTTAAGGATACAGGAGATATGATTTGATAAAATACTTATTTGTATTAATTATACACTCAATATGCACATAACGTGCGAAAGATGTCATAACTTTAAAGAAGTTTTTTGTATCTATTTTTATGTACCTAGGTACATAAATTAAATAATTAAACTAGGTACATAAGATAAATTAAAAAGTGAACGAATGATAAAATAATAATTATCATACACTTGTGATATTATGTAGTTACGGCACAGATACTGAATGATGATAATAACAAATAAAACACTTCCCTTCTGATTACCAACTGTATCATAATTTTCGTTTCAAAATGGAGCTACAGTTTATTGAACCCTTTTTGAACGTATAAGTCCGTGGGTACTTGTTTGCAATTATACATGGATGTAAGTGATGATTTGTGATGATGAATGTTGTACTGTCAGAGTTGAAATGATCCACTATACAGTATTATTTGTCAGGCGTTGAATTGCCTAGATGATAAAGTTTTTTTTTTGTTTTTCTAATTTGGACAACCATCGTATGTGTGTGTATTTGATGCTGAAGGAAAGACAGAGTAATGTAATAAAAAAGATGTAATCTAAAAAACCGGCCAAGTGCGATTCGGACTCGCGCATGAAGGGTTCCGTACCATCGTAATACACGTTTCTAGTAGGGGAGCCCATTTAAATATTTAATTTATTTCAATTTTTATTATTTGTTGTTGTTTGACAGAAATACACATTCTGTAAAAATTTCAACTGTCTACCTATTACGGATTATGAGATACAACCCGCTGACAGACAGACGACGGACGGACGTATGGACGGACAGCGGAGGTTTAGTAATCGGGTCACTTTGGGTACAGAACCCTAAAATCACAAAAGCTCTCACAAGAGATTTGGCAATTTTTTGTTTTATTTCTCACAGAATACGAGCGTAAAATAGCAGCTTGATGCTGCTGTGTTTAGTATGGTGAGTCTAGAGAACCGAAGACCCTTTTTACTGGAAAAGAGGCATTCCATCTTAGTCCTCACGGGTGACAACGCATCTGCATTTTGATTCGTAATCGAGGATAAATGTAGATGTCTATGGGCCACAGCAACCACTTACCATCAGGTGGACTGTGTGCCCGTTTGTCACCTTTATCCTATTAAAAAAAACATCATGTACTCTATTCTGTATCATCATCATTCATGTAACATCATCGTTATTTTGTTATCTTTCAGTTTCGAAGATGTGGTTATATTCTTTGGTTTCATTTTTCGTAGAGTTAGTAGTGCCGAAGTACGGTCTATCACTTTTTCTTTACTTTAGTATTCCTTATAAGATATGTACTTTATATCTCGTGCTCTGATCATGATAAGGCATGGTTTCAATTCTTGGCTTATAAACACGTGATTAAGCACACTAGTGTCTTAACACTGGTGTGCTTAATCGCGTGATAAGATACAGTCTGATACAGAACACAATTGTCGAAAATACGGTGAAATCGATGTTCCCGTTCTTAAAATGGCGCTACAGTCCTGAACGCTTTTGCCTCCGAAAAAGCGCGACATATATCACCTAGGCTTAGCTTAAGGACCTAGGATACTCACAGGACTATATGGGTGATGGATTCTCTTACGATGTCGGCACGATATTGCTCACGTACTAAAGTCTAAGATAACCCGTGTCAGCGACAATTAGCCTGTTCCGCGAATTTAAAAAAAAATACACGTTCCAGAAATTAAATAAAATTTTTGTGTACCTACTACTAAACAAAAACATTAAAAACATTGCAGTTTATCGTTCTTAAAGCAGTCGTTCCAGGTAATCGTGATAATTTCATTATCGCTTTTTCATTAATTAAAGGTAATGTGTTTTTACATTATATTTGAATTACGAAATCATTTATTGTTTATATATAGACACTGACAAAAGTACTACACCTATCAGGAGTTGAGCTGAATAAAACAATCTGGGTGTGATATTATATAATTATATCGTCGTCGGATTGTATAGTTTTTTTATAGACTAATGGCCGACACACGGTCAGTTAAACTGATCAGTTGAAATGACGTACATCCAAAAACTGACCGTGAGTGTAAAATCTTAAGTTGAAAAAAGCCGGTGAGTGGGAAATCGTTTTGGTTTACATTCGTTTTAACTGATCAGTTAAACTAATCATTTCAACTGATCAGTTTAATTGACCATGTGTGTGGAGCTTTAGGGTGACAAACGAGCACGCAACCCACCTGATGGAAAGTAGGTACTTCGGCCCATAGACATCTACATATACCCTAGATAAGGTTTCAAAATGTAGATGCGCTGTCACCCCTGAAGACTAAGATGGAATGCTTTGTATCCAGTAAAAAGGGTCTCCAGTACTAAACATTCACCATACGAAACACAGCAGCATTAAGCTGCTATTTTACGTAGCTATTCTATGAGAGCGTAATCCTTCCCTCGCCGAGCTGAAAGATCCGTGCTACAACTAGTAATATAGCTGCAGCATAACTTTACCACATATAATAATAAGTATGCGTCTACTTCGTCTATTTAGGAACAGTCGCTGGTTGTGAAATGCAGAAGGCAAATGGATGATGCTTTCATTACGCCAAGAATCATATGTTAGGATGATCACGATTTAGGATAAATAGCTGTGCTATGTTATCTATTTTATTCATGAAACAGTAGGGTCAGATAATACAAGAGTGGCCTATCAACCACCCGAAAGCCACAGATATTTATATTATACATGAATATGTATATGTCCTACCAAAACATACCGCCGCTGGGGTTTTTCTTGAAATTTTGATGAAGTTAACATTATAACTGTAAAAGGTTTCAGTAACACAGATAACAGTGTCTAATGTTATATGAAGAGAGATAAAAGGATTTCTTTTCTTGACTGACGTTGCACTTTATAAATGTTAAATTTCGCCGAACGGATAGAAATTTATGTATTGTACGTGATAGAGCCCCGCTATAGTTCGAAAGGGCCAGTAATGCCTGGACACACAGCGGTAAAATAGCAGCATAATGCTGCGTTTATGGGCTCCTGTATCTGGCTTATGAGTTGTCATAAACTAAAATATATTATTATAAAAACGTTAATATTTTAAGATATACCTCTCAGATTAATATATGCAACAAGGACTTGGGTACAGTAAAAAAAATCATCTCATATACTTAGAATATAGTTTCTAAGTCTATGAATCACCTGTTTTCATTTAAAATAACAATACTATTGTACTCTCCTTGGCCAAATCAGCATTGTGGCACGCAAAAAAAAACGTCAATGACGTTGCTAGATGACAAGTTGACAAGACGTTAAAATGCAAATGTTTTCGGAATCTAAGTGCAGTTGGTTTGTTATGCTATAGGTTTACCTAGGAAAATTTATAAAGTAGGAACGTCAATAACGGTTTTACGTATTTTTGGTGTCATATTAATTATTTTAAGTTTTCTTTTAATATTCTGATTACATTCCTAATTTATTATAGTAGTAGGAGGAAATGTATGAGGATATCTCTAGAGCCATGCATTCCTCCAAAACCCAATATACGGTGTTAATGGGAGACTTCAATGCAAAACTAGGCACAAGAGAGAACGGTGAGCTGAAAGTAGGGAAATTTGGAATAGGGCAACGGAACCCAAGGGGCCAGCAGCTGGCCGACTTCATGGAGAAAGAGGGACTCTTTATGATGAACTCTTTCTTCCAGAAGCGGCCCCACAGGAAGTGGACCTGGTCGAGCCCCGACGGTTCGACAAAAAATGAGATTGACTTCATTATGACGACCAGACGACAACTGTTCAGTGATGTCTCCGTGATCGCGAGGGTGAAAACTGGTAGCGATCACCGAATGGTTAGAGGCACACTGAACCTAAACGTTAAGTTGGAGAGGTC